AAAATGAAATGAGAATTTTTGAGAAAATCTAAGCGTTAGTCCGGTCGATCTGTCGTATTTTTCTGACAAAAAACACTTACGTATATTATGAAATGACATACTTTTATTTATATAGTCAAAAAAAAAAAAAAAAAATATGATTGTCTAACAATTAGAGGTATTTACTGCAGTGGGAAACAAATTTATACGATAATCCACAAATTTATACAACAATTTATGTAAAAAAAAAAATAAAATTATGCATTAAATGTCATTTTTCTAATATAAAAAACCCAAGAAATGAGGAGGAGACATACACTGCAGCAGCCATTTCTAAAGAAGACTCCAAGTGGTGGAATAAGTATTGCCATAAGAATTTCCAAGAACATCTCACAGCTGCTTGAACCCATTTTTATTCAATGATGATAAATAATATTATGCAATTTAAGTATATTTGGCTGATTGATATATTATTATGATCTATTAAATTTTTTTATGTTTTTTCTTTTTCCTTTTTTTTATTTTTTTAAATGTGATATAATATGCTAGTTTTTTTGCATAAATAGCTTGTTCTTAGGAGACAAATGTCACAAATCCTGAGGATTAATCCCAATAATATAGGATCTCCATAGTGAAATGAGGACAGACCTTACAAGAACTACTTATTAACAACTTACCGGGAGCCCGAATTTGCTGCGGGTAACGATTCACGACGAATCTCGAAATAAAAATAACGTGCGATTGTATCAGAATAATCTCGGAAAAACGAACAAAGAATGTACGACTCGATCGAAAAACAAAATAAAAAATAACGTGCGATTAAATCAGAATAATATCAGAAAAACGAACGCCCGAATTTGCTGTGGGTAACGATTCACGTTGAATCTCGAAACAAAAATAACGTGCGATTGTATCAGAATAATCTCGGAAAAACGAACAAAGAATGTACGACTCGATCGAAAAACAAAATAAATGTAAATTAGGGAAAAAAAATTTGGACCATTTCTCGATTTATGCGTGTCATCCTTGCGCAGGGGCCATGCTAATCTTCTCTGTATCGTTCCAATTTTATCGGATGTCCCCGAAGGGACAGCTGCCAGAGTAGAGACGTGTTATATGAACACATGACAATTTATATTTTTCTCCGATGTGGGACAAAGAGAAGAACTTGTATCTATTGGGCCGATGGACTTCTCTTATGTATGTATACGGGCCGATGGATTTAGAACTAGGCCAGACTTGATGCAAATGTCTGCCTAGATCTTATGTATTTGATTATGATTTGTAATCTGGGCACTGATTCTTTATTTTTCTATTTTTTTTCCCTCAAATTCAAAATTGAATTTTAGATTATTTAACTGTTAGTAATTAGATAACTTATAAATACATTTTTTTTTAGCTAAAAAGCACATATACTAGGTAATATAATTATTTGGTCCGGTTTTACTACTGACGGTGAACACATATAAACATCCTCACTACAGGAGTTAAACATATCATAGTATCATACACAGTCAGTATATGATATTAAAAAATTACGAGATCCTAATGTATCGAGTTGTAATCGAACCAAACGAACCAAATTTAAACATTTTCGAGCAGATTATATTCGAATACTTTAAGTTGTTCGATTAAAAACACACACAAAGTGATATTTTTTTTTTTTTTTTTTGTGTCCCTAGCTAGGCTAACAAAGACCAAATCATGACATCATTAGCTCCAAATCTTAAGCAACAAGAGAGCATTTGATGAACATGAAATTCTTCATAACAATTTGATAGGTTTTGGCCCATTAATCCATCATGATGTGGTCCTCTTACTGCAAATTTCATTATTTTCCCTTGCAATTTTAACTTTGACATATAGTAATTATTACAGACTAGTTACAAAGTTTTTTTTTTTTTAGTATTAATCATATGTTTCCTAATAATTAATCTTAATTTTTCATATGGCTCGCAATTAATGAATTCAATCCATAAGCTTAGTCAATACTAAAAAATAATTAAAAAGTATTATTATCATTTATTATCATATACGTACGAGACAACTACGAAGCGTACCTGACGGTTAATTATCCTACTGTTTATAAATGAAGATGCCAAGCATTTCATGTATTAGTTTTTATTATTTTTCTAACTATTACACTTATGTTACACTTTCACAAGACTCGTGTCACAATACCAAATTTAAGGCTCAAATTTTTACCTATCTACCACCCCGGGCAACATGATTTCCAATTCGCTCGCCCACACAATAATAGTTCGGGGTTGTGTAAGTACATCACATTCACTCAAACACGCATGTGGAAGCTATCAATAGTAAATAAGTGACACACAAGATTACAGACTCACACCCAACCAAAGTAGTATAATTACTCAATGTACAATAGAATGTCTTACAACTTGCACACACGGTTCAAACCCCACACTCTAGTACTAGTACAACATTAATGATCTTACTCAGTCATCAAGTGATGCCACACCGGGCCTTATACACATGTCTAATATTCGCCAATCTAGTTCTGGCCTTATAGACGTTGGGCTTACACACGCACACTACAACACTTGGTGTATTCCAACTCATGATAACACTATCTTTCAATACGAGGACTTTGTTCGCACCATATCTCGGTCAATCTGTTTGCCTCGCATGTTTGTCCTCGTGTTTTAGCTCTCTCGCCGGATGAGTTTACTAATTTAAAGTCGTAAAAACAATTTAAATATGAAAAATGAAGCTTTATCCATTTTTTCATGGTTTTATTTATTTTATTAGAAATTTAATAAAGTTAAAATTCACTATGTATAGTTAAATAAAATTGAAAAGTGACTAATTTTTTTTTTTTAAAAAAAAATTGTATGTTCTTGTTGGTCAATCATTATTTCATAATTTGAGAAAATTCCATGGTCATGAGTTGAATATGTTATTTTTTCTTTAAACAAGGATCTAAAAAAAAATTAAATGATGAATTTAGAAGTTATCATATATATTTTTTCCATGTCATAAATATTTATTTTGAGGATATTATCAAAACTAGTATGTACCCCGTGCGATGCACGGGCTGTATTTATTTTCGTAAAATTTATAACTGAAGGCTATTAATCAATAATACATAGAACTTGTTAGGTATTCGTAAAATGATCATCATGAAAAAATCATACATTATTAAAAAATTCTTCGTTTTTCCATGAAAAATTATTTTTCACTTGGTAACCGTAAATCGATATTTACCAAGATTGTTCTTCCCTTGGTAATTGTGAATTGTATAGACACCTCATTCCTTCATTTTTTTGTTGATTTTCGAAATGTTACCACCATGAAATAAAATTATAGTGAAAATATGTAATATTGTGATTGATACTAAATATATGATTATATTGTGAAGTTTAATTTTATATCGAGTATAAAGAAAATTATTACCTTAAAGTTAAAGTTTGGATTTTGAGTATATCTTTTTTTTTGTCAATCATTCTAATTTTTTTATGCTAAATTCATTCCAAAAATTGAGAACAATTTTGTTTTGTTATGTTGTAACAGAGATTTGGAAGTTTGGTTGTATCTTTTGTAAAACATATTAATAAAAATAACTACGTGTAAAAAAAACAACAACGATATTTTATCATTTGTAGATAAAAAGTAACTAAATGAATCGGAGGACATGTAAATCACGGTTTTTAAATAAAAATATGTTTCATAAAAAAAAGTGATAAGAAAATGATTCAAAATGATAAAAAGAAAATCATATATTATAACAAAAAGATGTTTACTTGAGTAGTGGATTAGCAATTTTAAAAAACATGTTACCATGATTGAAATAAAATCTTTAGACTATCCTTATTGGTGACCCAATAGGTTGGGTCACCATGAAAAAGACAAAAAAAAATAAAATAATAATAATAAAAAAAAACAAAAATGAAAGAATTTGGGCGACCCATGTCACAATGTGATCTTGGGTCGCAACCGGCCACTGCTACCCTTT